AGAGGGTGGATTAGCCGTATTTACATTGAACCTTATGGGAAAATTTGCCTCGTGGTGCGACCAAATTCGGAGGGCAGAACGGATTAACCGTATTTACATTGAACCTTATGGGAAAATTTGCCTCGTGGTGCGACCAAATTCGGAGGGCAGAACGGATTAACCGTATTTACATTGAACCTTATGGGAAAATTTGCCTCGTGGTGCGACCAAATTCGGAGGGCAGAACGGATTAACCGTATTTACATTGAACCTTATGGGAAACTTTACCTCGACTTGAGACCAACTCGAGTTGCAACCAGAGTCACGGAACGGATTAAGTTCGTAACTAGAGGTACCACTGTATACTGATATAAATACTGATTGAATATTTCTGTAATCCCAACTTTATTATAGAACTGTATCATAGTTCAGATGGGAACTTTTGTTAGGTGGAGTATCTTGGACATCTTGCTCACAACTGTTTAAATATTTAAACTAACAAACCAATTCTAATTTTTATTTTAGACCATACAGAAGAAGAAGAACAGTGGTCAGATGACTTCGTAAGTTTATTCGTCACACATATATCCAGAGCATCAGCAAGGGCAGTCAAAACAGAGATGGCAGCTGTAACTATGAGTCACACATAAAAAAAGAGGCAGGGTTTCAGTGTGAGGTTGCAGCTACCATCCTGACGTTTTTTATTCCCCTGCCTTCACAAGTGCCCCTGTGTAATTCAAACATTGCATGTACACAGCCATAAATTGTATGAATTTTTCCGTCTATATCAGCTTTTCCTAACTTGAGTCTTCCAGATGTGTTGGGCTCCCCAAAATTTCCAGGCATCTGCTGCTGTAAGAAAATTGCTCTAAGTCATGTCTGTCTGTCTATCTGTTCATCCATGCATTCATCCATCTACAAAGTCTACAAATCACACAGTTTTGAAGGGCAGAAGCTCTTTTTTTAAAAAAAGTTTGTCCATATTTTTATGTGTATTTGGTCACCCTTACATATCAGTACCTAAATGCTTGCAATAAAGGCAGCTGGAACTGAAGTTCGCATGGAAATCAGAGCATCAAATGTCATCTCAGCCAGAGCCAATAGAAGATCAAACATTCTTATGGCAATTAATCATGGTTCCATTTAACATCCCATATTAAATGGCACTTCTGCAATGCTATTTCACATCTAGTTAGCTGCAGTGAATTCAGTACCATAGATCTTTGGTCTGCAGCTAATCTTATTGGCTTCATCAAGGAGGAAGAGAAGCAAGGTCGGTCCTTCCTTCCTTCCTTCCTTCCTTCCTTCCTTCCTTCCTTCCTTCCTTCCTTCCTTCCTTCCTTCCTTCCTTCCTGTTTCCTCCTTTCTATTTTCTTTTTATTCTTTATTATTCTCAGAATATTAGGGCAACATAAAACAGCTTCTCTCTCCAATATAATCCTTACAGTTCTGTGATGTGGGTTAGTTTGAGAAACAATAACTGGACCATTGTAAGCCAAAGCCCTGTCTTTAATGTGGGTGTCTGGTGAGTTCTGTGGTATGTTGCCAGCTGCTCAGTAAGTAACTATCAGTAGCCAGGACTGATTTCATCAAGCCCTGATGCTTCTAACATCTCTATACTATCATTCTTTTATACAAGTTCCTTTTCTTCATAGCCTCTTCCATTTCATCCTTCTCTTCATTTTGGTGGGAGGTTCATCTGACTTGTAATACTTTTTCATATGGGATTCATAATTTTTCTTCCTGCAGTTACTCAGTTTTTTTCCCATTTTTTCCTTTTTCTTCCATGTCCATTTTTCCAAGATCCACTGCTGACATTACCAAATAATGGTCTGTCCCACATTCAGACCTTCATAACATTTTTGTTTCCTTCACTGATTCATCTTTCCTCGTAAACAATCAAATCAGTCATGCTTGTCAATTCACTCCTTTTCCATGTGATGCACAAATAGGCATACTTAAACCATGAATTGAAAAAAGACCTTTTTCTAAGCACGTATTCCTCAAAAAGTCACCATTCTCATTCCTTTGTTCTTTGATGGCCAAATCACTCTCACAGTATCTCTCATTTTGTTCCCATCCATTCATTCATGTTACCTAGCAGAATTTTGTTTTATCCAGATCACATTCATTCACACTCATCTCTGGTTCTTCCACTATCACAGCTCCTATTACCATCATGCAGCTATCATCAACTTATGGATTCCTACTTTCATAGGCAGCTGTAAAATAATATCAATTTATACTTTCTGACATACATTTTAGCCCTTTCATTCATCATTAAACCAATATCCTCACTTCCCTGCATACATTCATCAACTCCATTTTACAATATCAGACTACCTTTATTCAGATGTGTTACACTCTTCCCCTTAGTTTCACAGACCACAACATACCTTCTTTCTTTTCTTCCATTCATTAATTCAAGCTCTTTACTCCTCTTATATTCTAAGTCACAGAGTTCCATATGCCATGATGGTTGATGGGCCCATAGGTATTAACCTCTGATACCCATTATAGCTTTACCAATCCAGTCTTACACAGAATGCTTTTTAGTAAGATAGAGAGGACATACACCAGGTTAGTCATACTGTGCCAAAGTCATCGTTCTTATCTAATAGTAGGGGCAGTGCCAGTCGGCTTGGACACATTTTGACCAGCATGCTACAACCCCACTAATGCCCAGCTTTATCCCTAGCAGGCTCATGCTACTGTATGAAAGCCATGATCTCTATTGTAAAAATTATCTTGTAAGCCAAAATACTTTTGCTAGCATCCTACCATCTAGGAGATAGATGCAGTGGCCTGACACACAATTAAACTATGATAGACCATTCACATCTAAAAATGATGATTACACATTACAATCAGAATCATAAATCTACGTGTATGCCACAGAATTATGAGACTTTAGGTAATAGCTCACATGTTTGGAGGTCATTAAAATAAGGGATTCTTTTAGATGTTGAACTTCAGAGCTCATAATATATTGAATTGTCAGGTCCAGCCCAAGAACAACGGTGAAACAGTCCAGTTGAGTTCAGTTCCTTTATTTGCCTACACCATATAGACAGAATCTTGCCAGACTAAATCTATACTACTGCAGCAACTAGTGGATATACCCTGGGAGATTCTAGGGAGTGGCTATCTTGAACCTCTTTTGCTTCCCACACTCCCCCTCCAGCCTGTGTTGTCTTTTGTCTCCTTTCCCTTCCTGGAATGCACCCCTCCTTCCTCATATAGCCTTGCTCTCTGCTGCGATCTACCACATGAATCATTTTTAAAAGTTGCATTTTACAGTTTCCTAAGAAATTCAGCAATATTCTGCTTCTAGGACAGCGATTATGAAAATCCAGACCACCACTCCGATTCTGAGATGTATGTGGTTCCCACCGAAGAGAACTGCGATGACAGCTATGAGCCTCCTCCGAGTGAACATGACCAGAAGAAGCTTCCAGTAGCGCTCTTGTGCCCGAGGGGAGTATATGCAGGTATGTGCATCACGTCCACACTCCTGTTTCTCAAGATCAAAATTGATGATAATGGAATTTAAAGCAGCAGAAGAGTTTCAAATGGAGGCAGGAGCTTTTTAAGATTCTGGGAGGTCCAGAGGCAGAACATCCATTTGAGAGCGTGCACACATTCACACTCAGACATACTTTTACCTATGTCCATTTTTTTTTATGGTTTTTGATCCATTGAAGCCAATAACCTATCAGGAGCATGTAAGAAACCTAAAATGCAAAAAAAATTCTTGGCCTCATATTTTTAAATTGATTCTACTGCCAAGAATGACAACTGCTGATAACTTTAAATGATACTTTGGATGGGGTTCTGTCCATGTGGATGGGTCAGGGCAAACAGCCCCCTCTTGAAAAAAGTCATACCCAATCTTCTTTGTCTCCTTATTAGAACTGGTGTGAGCAGGATGATCTGTTTCCTGTTGCCATTAGCATGTGATAAAACACTGGTGGATTAAATGAAAAGTTCATCCAGTGAATCATTCTGCTTCTTTGGTGATCTCATAGCTGCTTCTGGAAGTTCTCATTTTTAAAAACAACAGTCCTATCATGCTCTGCTTTTCCAGCTTCTGTTATTTATATTGCTTCTCTATTAGAAGCTGCCATCTAGCTATTGTGAATTTGTTTAATCCTCTGGGACCTATGGTTTATGCTACCACTACTTCCAATCTTCTAGTACTGTGGAAAATGACCAGATGAATGCTCCAGTTAAGCTCCTCCCCTCCCAATGTCACTCAAATGAAGTCAGCCTCCTGAAGACCATCACTACAGTTGTCAAAACTATATCTTAGTGCAACGCAAGTGTACGTCCATTGTATGTCTGAAGGAGTGCTTTTTTAAATCTGCTCTAAATCAGCTCTTAGTTTTCACTCCAATGATCTTTTCCCCTACCTAATCACTGCCATTCAGGCCTTACCTGTAGTTTAGCATTCGTGAGCTCCAACGTATAGTGCATTTGCTTGAATCTCTTCTCATCCCATTAGAATTTCATTTTGTTATACTACCTGCAAATTAATCTTTTTCACTGATTATCCTAGCCTCAGATTATTTATGAACAGATTAAATAATCCCACGAGACCTCATATAATGTCCCTTACTTATGACAACTGCCCAGGAACTTACATTCTCTGTTGATCAATTTCCAGTCAATAAAAAGAGTTATCATCTCACTCCAATAATACCATGGACCCTCTGGTTAGAAATACAGGGGTCTGTAGTGGGGAGGGGTATAGAAAAAGTCAAGATGGAGGCTGTAACAGAGCAGTTGAAGACCTGCCCTTTTTTATATGGGCCACCACCTTAACTTTTTTCAAACATACAGGTCCCTGGATAGAGACTTTGTCAAAAGGATTGTGGAAAGCCAAACAAATTATGTCTACAGATAGTCCTCAATTTACCGACTGCAATTGGGACTGGCAACTCTGCCACTAACTGATGTAGCCAGTTCCAGCTACAGTTGTTAAGCAAATCAATGCAAGCCGTAAGGCACAATATCACGTGGCCATGACTTGTGACTTTCTGCTGGGTTCCCCTTTGACCTTGCTTGGCGGAAGCCAGCTGTGAAGGTTGCAAATGGCAATCATGTGACCACTGTGATGGCTGCAACTTTGAGGACTGGTTGTAAATTTCCTTTTTTCAGCACTGTTGTAACTTCAAATGGTTGCTGAACGAGCAGTCAGTAAGTGAGGACTATCTGTTTCTATTCATATAGCTTTTCATACTCCCTGTTTAGTCCATGGTTGAAAAGATTAGCTACTAATCTAATCTTTTAATTACTAGATTAATTATCAGTTCAACATGGATTTTCATGACAGACAAGGAACTAACAAACCTATCTCAAGAGAATCATTATTCTGTTGGCGGCTCATTTGGTGTCTGAGAGAGAGCAAAACAAGGGATGAGAACCAAAGATTTTATTGTTACAAAGAACTTGGAAACAATGTTATTAAAAAGGAGCTTATCTTCTAAGTTGAGACATACCAAGCTTGGCCCCCAATCTACATTCTTCTTCACAACATCTTAAAATATCACCATGAAATTTGGTGGCAAAATTTCCAATTTTCAGTGACATAGCTTCTGAATTAAAAATAATAATAAGAGTGAAAATGAAACTGGGAGGCAAATCATGTCCACTTCTACCTTAAACTTTCTCCATTCTCACCTCCATGGCTTATAACTGTGATGCTGAAATTTGGCATTTGAATCACTTTAATTCAACAATGTGAATTGGTGTGCTAAGTTTTTAAGGGTGGAAATGGGGCAATTTGCCTCCTAGAGGCTCTCTTTCTCATCCCTACCCTCATCTCCCCACCAAGAAACACATAAAAGCAGTGGAGTCCTTGGGGTTCTCTGAGCTTGGTTGTTTTCTTGCAAACGTTTCATTACCCG